TAAAGTGTTTCTGTTTATTACTGTTTTGATTTATGTCAGAGGCAGTCCTAACTGCTTGTTTGTGGTACCTTTTTCCAGGTAAGATCCCTGTATCTCCTTTAGTCTCTTTTTTTTCGAGTGAAGTTAGTTTGCTGTGATAGATTGTTTTGTCTGTTATCTTGGCTGTGCTCTTCCTGACGTTCTTTTTTTTTAACAAAGGATCTGTAAAAATAAATCATTGTTTGGACTGCAAACAGTGTCAACTACCCAGAAAAGCAGCTCCCACTATGCATGAAGGAGGGAGGATGGGCTCTGGAACCTTTGCTGGGGTTCTTGGGGGCTATCTGTCTGGAGAGGGCATCCAGTTTCTGGTTGCAGGAACTGGGTCTGTAAGTCAAAACCCTCCCTAGAAAAAAGCCTACCTAGCTTGTCGGGGGTCTACGTAATCTCTCGGCTGACTGAAGATAGACTAGGTTTGTCCACACAATGAATGGATGCTCCGCCCCCTCCAAGCAGTGCCACCACTCCTCCAGAGACAGCTTGTTCGGCTTGAGAGAGGCAACAAGATCATCATCCTCCAGCACGAACTGCTGAAAAGGTTGGGTGGATAGACAGATAGACAGACAGACAGACAGATGTACTTTATTGATCCCAATTGGGAAATTGTTGTATCACAAGAGCAGGTCAAGGACATTCTCGAGTAAAGAACAAAAAGCTAAATGCAAGAGACTACAAAGAGACAAAAAATACTATGATGACTTCCACACTAATACTGAAATTGCAGTATTCTGAAAGAGACAAGGTGCAAAATTGCAGCATTTGTTTGAAACATGACTAAAGTAATAAATATGACAATATGCAGTAAAATGAATATGAATATAATATGTGCAAAAGAAATTTAAAAAATTAGTTATTGTACTATCAGAAGTGATAATTGTACAGTCTTATTGCTGTGGGCAGGAAAGACTACTTGTATCTGTCCTTGGGGCAGCGGAGCTGAACCAGTCTGTTGGAGAAAGTGCTCCGTTGTCTGTGCAACAGGTGGTGGAGAGGATGCTCTTGATTGTTCATGATGCATAGTTTCTTCAGCGCCCTCCTCTCCAACACCACTTCAAAAGAGTCCGGTGTGCAGCCAATGACGTAGCCAAGCTTAATCACTTAAGTCTGTTAGTGTCACCGTCTCCGATGCTGCTCCCCCAACAGACCACAGCAAAATACAGTACAGTGGCTACAACAGACTGATATTTCCATCATGTGATAATGAACACCCCAGTTCTAGATGGGGTTCCGTGAATGGAGGATTGTGTCTGGCTCAACAGGGTTCCTCCTCTGCCTGATGAGCCTAATCTTTTTAGCACTGGGCAATGGTGTGGCCAGGCTGGCCACAGTAAAGACAGAGATGCTCCCTGAATCTCTACTGTTGTTCTGTTGCTGTGAGCCAAGCCCTCCCCAGCTGCATGGAATCCTCAGTAGGTTCGGCAGAGGTCAAGCAGGGTAAAAGATCATCAGGGGAAGATTGTATACACTTGCAGAGTGAAGAGAGACATGGGAATGGGGAAAAGCACTGGAAGGCAGAGAGGAGCTGTGACACATAGTCTACAACAGTAGCATTACATTCTATCAACTGAAAAGGGGATCTCTTTTTTGTGTTTCCGGAAACACAAGAATGTGAATGTGAAGCTTTATATTACTATTGATATATCTCGTGTAAGATAACAGTTATTTGGAGAAATGTAGTGTAAATTAAATGTCCCCTCATTCCACAGCAGGTAACAGGAGGTAGAAAGAACAAAGTTTCTGGTCTGAACAGTCTGAAGTAAAGAGAGGAGGTCAGTGGATCTTGTGGGGTATTTTCTAATATCTGATTCCCAGAAGAAAGCTCAGGCCCGAAAATAAACTCCTACAGTTTAAAGTATCTACAAGTGTTTATATTTCCACTCCTTCCAGAAGCCATTTTACAGCCCTGACATGTAAACACTGATGTGGGAATCACATGTGGTAATGTAAGGTCATGTTCTCACCAAATTCTTTAACTGAGCCTGAGAAAAGAGCAGATAAAGTGCAAACAGATGCTTAGGGTTGTGATGACTATCATGCAGGATTCTTTAAGAGTTCCTCATCATAAGGTCGCAAAATGCAGGGACTGAGAACAGTTCATGCTAGAGGAGCCTGAATGACAAAAATGTAAACACCTATTTTTGGCGAATTTGCGACATTACTGGAGTGGAACAGCTGGATGAGCAGCAGTGGTTAAGTAGTGGATCTGAAGCAGTTTCAGCTTCAATTGGGTCAGTGTGTGAGGTTGCAACAGAGGAAGCATCAGCAGTAATGTTTTGCTAGAAAAGAAACTCCTGATTAGAGGAGAGTTTTGTTGCTTATTGGACACCTCGGAAGATCTAGAAGAGATAGGGACTTGTCTCCTGTAGAGCCCAGAGCTGTCAATATGATCAATATGTTGTTCTGTCTGCTGAATGTGTAAATAAGCAGCTGGTCAACAGGATAACATCAACAATGTTACAGCATCAGCAGTTACCAGTGGTGTGTCTCGAGAGGTGGGTGTATGCCACAGTTTTCTTTAAAGCAGCCTGTCCTGCAAAGGATAAATGTTATGAACAGTGACATCTAAGACTACTCTTCGCTCAATACTGGGCCAATATTATTTGCACATTTTTATTTAATTTGTGATGCAATGGAAATGTTGTATCAATGCTGGCCCACACACTTTAGGGTGAGAAAACTACATAATTATGCATTTTAAGTCAACTCAGTTCATCCACACATGCCAATTGGATTATTATTCTCTTGTGTGCATAATGAAACACTTTTCTCCAACTATTATGGAGCCATCTCATTAACGAAATGTAAAAATGGCATCAGATGATGGACTTGTCTCTGTACTCATCCTGTTGGATCTTAGTGCAGCATTTGACACCATAGATCGTAAGATTCCTTTACAAAGACTGGAACAACATGTAGGGATCAGAGGATCAGCACTAGACTGGTTTAAATCATATTTAAGATCATCAAGGCCTGGATGACCTAAAACTTCTTACTTTTACTGAGGTCGTTGTAATTGTAATTGTAATTGTCCCTAAACATCTTAGAGAATCACTGTCTGAACAGATAGTTACCTTGGACGGTGTCAGCTTGGCCTCCAACTCAACTGTGAGGAACCTTGGAGTTATGTTTGACCAGGACATGTCATTTGACCAACACATTAAACAAGTCTCTAGGACAGCTTTCTTCCACCTGCGCAGTATTAACAAAATTAGAAACATCCTGTCTAAGAAGGATGCTGAGAAACTAGTCCACGCATTCATTACCTCTAGACTAGATTACTGTAATTCCTTATTATAAGGATGCCCCAGGAAATCGGTAAAAAGTCTACAGTTGGTCCAAAATGCCGCAGCATGAGTGCTGACAGGAACTAGAGGGAGAGATCATATTACTCCTGTCTTAGCTTCTCTACATTGGCTCCCTGTAAAATTCAGAATAGATTTCAAAATCCTGCTCCTCACATWTAAAGCCCTTAATAATCAAGCCCCTTCATATATCAAAGAGCTGATAACCGTATTATCCAAATAGATCACTTCGTTCGCAAAACACAGGCTCTCTTGTGGTTCCAAGAGTCAGTAAGATTAGAACAGGAGGTAGAGCATTCAGCTACCAGGCTCCTCTCCTGTGGAACCTCCCACTCTGGGTTCAGGAGGCAGACACCATCTCTGCATTTGAAGTTAAACTTAAAACGTTCCTTTTTGATAAAGCCTATAGTTAGTTCTGGATCAGGTGAGTCCTGAACCCTCCCTTAGTTATGCTGCTGTAGGTGCTGTCTTTCTCTCTGCAAAAAGGCTGCAACTCCGATGTGCAGCTTACAGTAAGCTGAAGAGAAAAGTAGTTACCATAAATTTGCATCCTCTAACCCATGTTACATGTGTGATGACTATAAATATTTTTCCACTGTAAAACGCTGTGATTGCACAATGTTGGGACTGAATTGCTTTGTGTGTGTGTGTGTGTGTGTGTCTGTGTTGTTGGTCAGTGCAGAGTGGTGCACCTGCAGTTACAAGTTCATTTGCATAAAAGTGACATGACAATTGATAAATGGGTGAATGTTGATGCATTCTGAACATTTACTTCAGCACTTTAACGCCGAAGCTAGGCCCATGGCTAAAGGGATGCTGTTCCAGCTCCAGATGTAACTTTAGTCCCAAAGACCCTCCAAGCATTACAAGACCCAGGTCAAACCATCAGAACCTATAGTATACTAGGAGCACAGAACAAAACCTTTATTTTGAAAGATCTTGTTACCACTGCAGACCTTGACTTCTTATATTTAACCATAACATGGTTCAGAGCAGCTACGTGAACTCACAAAGGTCACCAAGGGCAATTGGTCTAGAAGGAGGCCTAATTTTCAGAAAACATTTGTAGCCATATTTCTGTTAATAATGTAACTAGCTTTGAGGTACTTGTATTTAAATTGAACTCACTCCAGTTCGCTGTATTGTTGAAACTGCTTCTTAATAAATGTTTAGAATTCTCTCTGGTTCTTACGTTTCATGTTGACTAAACCCAGTTTTTGAATGTTACTGAGTCCTATTATTTTTTACTTGTTTCTTCGAATACAAATGACCAGTTAAAAGGCCTTCAACCAATTCTGCTTATCCACACTGGACATTGTTCCTGTGAAAAAAGAAGTAAACTTCTTCATGGATGAAAGAGGAGATCCATAGCCTGCGCATATTAGAAAGGTCAACACAGGTGATCATCTCGCAACTTCAAACAACTGCAAGGTAAAGGAAGCACAGGACCAGTATTTCTCCAGCTAATCCCCCAGTTTAATACAGTTTGTAAACTCTCCTTCACTTACTGCAGCTGATTGTGATTTTATCTCACCTCCTTCATAGAAAAGATTGAACATATCAGGGGTAATATAAATCCTGCTGCCTCTGCAATGGACCCCATGGACCCCATAGACCTGAGTGTTTGTTGAGACAATCAGAGAGACAGACACACAGAAATTTCTGGATTTATTAGCAACAAAACCTTGGCGTAATGACCCACCGATTAATATATTAACTTCCTATATATGGCAACATCTGCTCTGGTCGGTTTTTAGCTTTTCTTCAGTTCACTTCAGCCACACTCAGAAAGAGAATATGATGCAAGGGCCTTGTGCAACTCATCCATGTCCACTGTTGTCCTCATTTTCCTGTTTCTGGAGCTGTATAGCATGGCCTCCAGTTTGTTTGGACCTCTGTGGTTTGTGCAGCTTCTTCCAAATCATTTTCAGAGCAGAGGGGCGGAGGATGATGAAAACCCACGGGTTAATGATGGAGTGAAATGACAGCAAACGGAGAGCCCCGAGATCCTCTGTGGCAAGCTCTTTATGGGTACTTCTTAGGTTTATGTACACCGTGAGCTTGGGGGGGGGGGAGAAATACAGTATTATAACAGAATACAATCAAAAGTGAGAACTGTGCAACAATGCATAACAACAAAGCTTTACTGTGAGGACAGTTTACGGTGTACTCAGAGCCTATAGACTTTAAAGTGTTTTAAATGCAGTTCCCCTCAGCTGTTATATGTTTCTCAACAATCCAGCATACAGAGCAACATGCACATTGTGTGGAGTGCAGTGTTATATTGCGAAGGATAGTGTATGATATTATTATTACCATTTTATATGCAGTATTAAGCAGTATTGTCATGTGGGAGCTGGTAGAGATGGAGGTGCACTTTTGAAATTGTTGCATAGGTTCATCTAATAATGTGTTAAATGTGAATTAAGCAAATATTTAGTAAGTGAAATCCAAATCTGCAACGAAACCAATAATTATATCATCATATAACTTGCTCTAGTATACATTTCTCTGTGAGGTAGAGTGATGAAGCATTAAATGCTAATACAGCAGCATATAAACCTGGAAAAGATAAAACAGAGATATCTGTGTTTCTTTTGTTTCCTGGCAATATACTCTATACCAGCAAGAACCATAGGCAAGAACAGTCCGTGTTTTATTGGTTTCTTGTTGATACCTATGGATGAACCACACTGTTGTTAAGAAGTTAACCATTAGAGCTCTTACCACTATGGGAGAGGTGCAGCAGATGAAGACAACAGTGATGACAACAAGTGGAAGCAGATGCGCCACCTCCTCCGTCATGGACCTTTTGTGCCGGGAGGGCGCAGACACGCGGCGCCGGCGGAGTTTACCCCTCCTGTGCATCATTATCAAGAGGTAAATGACAGATGCATTGCACACCACTGTCGTAGAGCCCATGATGACGATGAGAGATGCGTAAAAAACGGCGAAAGTTTTATCCTTTCCGACAGAGTCACTCATCTTTAGGAAGCACCAGGTCCCCGGGCAGTACTGCACGTATTCACCAAAACCCAGGAAAGGAGTGATGCTGAAAAACATGCTGCCCAGGTAGATGAGCGTAATGGCAATGTAAGTAGAGCGTGTGGTTAAGTGCTGCTCGTAAATGTAAGGGTGGCCAATGGCGAGGTAGCGCTCGAGCGCTATTACGCATAGGATGCCCAGTGTGGATAGGCTCAGAAAGGTTATACTGAAGCCAAAGTAGAAGCACAGCTCATTGTTCGCACTCATCCCCACCAGTGTTTTCTTCTGAACATGAGCGGACAGCACAACAGGGCTGACAGACAGGGAGCCGAGCAGGTCTGTCACGAGAAGCGCAGTGACCAGAACCTGGTAAAGGGACCGGTTGGTCCTCCGGCGCCGAACCTGTAACAGGAGCAGTGCCACGATATTGCCCACCACAGCGGCCGAGAACATCGACGCCGACATAATAGGCTTTCCAGAATGCACGACGCCAGTGTGGAGGCAATGGATGTGATCTGTGGAGTTGTTTCCCGGAGACATTAAGAATACACGAGGAGAGCGAGTGTTCAGCGGTGAAGTCCTGGAAGTCAGCGCACACGCTGCAACCACTGAGCTCGCGTCCCGCCCCTCAAAGAGCTCTCAGGCTCTAACAGTAACCCTAACCCTAGACTCACTCTCTTCAAGTTTAGGCTTAAATCGTGGTTCATTGATAAAGCTAAGAGTTAAAGGTTCAGTGAGTAAGATTCAGGTGAACGGGATCTATTGGCAGAAACTGAATATAAAATAATCCTAGTGATGTTTTCACGTGTGTAATAATCTAAATTGTATGAATTGTTGTTTTCTTAACCATAGAATGGATCCTTTATATTTAAAAACTTTAGATTTACATCCGGGGGGGTCAATCCACAACTCTGTTAGTTAGATACCTGTAAGTGGAAGTCCATGGCTCCTAAATCACCTTGATTTGTCTGCACATTTGAGTACATGGAAAATGCTACCACTCTTATTACGATGTCAGTTCTGTCTATTCATGTAGTTTTCTATATGAGTTGCAATTTCATTTTCAGAGAAAGAAATGATTGCTTTTTTTGTGGCAGACTGTGTCCTCTGGATGGCGCCATTGACCAAGATTTTTGCAGCACCCAAAATTTGCATTGTAAGCTAAAAAACTGAAATAGGTCTGGTACTTTGAAATTATTTAAATGATGTGTAAATCACAACCAGTGCTACAGAATGCTTTTCACTGGTTATAATTAAAGGCATGATACAATAATTAAAGTTTTATTTTGGGGGTATTCAAAATAAAGGGTAGGCAACTGGACTTGCTTGTGTTTCTTGAAGATTCTTCACCTCTCTTCCAAGAGGCTTATTCAATTTAATCAGTTAGAGCTGAAGAAGCCCCTTGGATGAGAAGTGAAACATGAAGAAACACGAGCAAGTCCAGTTGCCTACATACACTTGTATAACTTCTGAAAATACAATGGCCTGGATGACTGAGAATCTTTGTTGTACTTTGTTATCTACGACCACAGGATTTTGCTGCAGTTGCTATCCTCTTAGAATGAAAATAGCTCTTGAAGAACATAAGCTCAGAGGCTGAATACTCTGACCCCATGAAATAGATTGATTTCCTTTTCTCATATTATGCTTGCTGCCAAGATACAAAGAGGTCCAACCACCATACTCTAGAACCTGACTTCTCAGCCTCTGTGTCCCAACACCACCTTTCCATCACCCAGTAATGGGCCTGCTCTCCTCAAGAGTTGTGAACAGTGCTGGAGGAAGACTCCATTCTGACTGGATCAGTGAGATCGTCCAGCTTAACTTGAAAGAAAGTGAAAAAAAGTTTGAATTCACCCCTTAACTCTTATCCAACCTAAAAGGTCAGGAAGAGCTGATGATATGGGGCTGAGTTTCTTTGTCCACAAACTATACTTTTGTACTACACAGTATATACACAATACATTTTATAGAAAGAAAGAAATAATCATGCGTTTGTCATACCTTATCCTTTTTCATTGCTATTTGTGATTGCGCAAATATTGGAAAGAAGTGCCAATGTGTTGTTTAAATGCTCTAAACACATATGTAACGCATGTATTTTCAGATTCCAATTTCAAATCAACTTATGAAATGGAACCTTCCGAGGAGCATGTGAATGTAAAGTTGAATTGTGGGTGTGCTTTGTCTGTGTGGGCATAGCCATTCCAGTCTCTCCTGCTTGTCCTGGATCTACACTCCAGTCTCCACCAGATTGCTCAGTTCACCGATGTGGTGCCAACACAAAGGCCCTACACTTTTTTTTTCTAGCTTTGTTTTGTTGTGTTTGCCTGAACTCAGCCTGATCTTGTTCTTCCCTGTACCTACTCCATCAGCCCTCTCACTCCCAAACTGATGCTAACCCATTTCTGCAACAAATCTGCTTCTCAACATTTGAATACTTTTTCTCTGAGTTCTGCTTCAGAATCAAAATTTTACTATTTCATCAACACAGGACCTCTTTGGCACAGAGGTATGAGCAGTGGCTTAATCTTCTGATGCACTTCCCTGTCCACATATGGATGTATTTTTGAGCAAATCACTGAACATGCAGTTGCTTCCAGTGCACCTTCAATGTGTTATGTCCCTTTATTTCCCCACATTAGTCATTCTTCATTTGTCCATCAGATATCCCCTCACTTTTTCCTTGTCTCATTCACCTCATCCACCTGAGCCTCCCTACCTGTTCCTGGTCCTCTCACAGACACAGACTCATGGTTTCAGTCTTTCACAGTGGTCTGCTCACTATGTAATCACCATCTAACAGTGAGGTGGGATAGTGAGATGCGGTTCAGTTTTTTTTTTAGGACTAATTGTATTTTTGAGAACTGTTCTGCTGGGCTAACTGTAGGGGGCTCCTTCTGAAAACAGTCAAAACGACTTACTCTAATTGTGGCTTTTACTAGATAATTGTAATTATTCAATATGTAAAATGTTTTTTAATTTAGCCCAATAAAAACGAATACTTAAGAATTCAGTATTTCTCAACTAAACTGACACAAAATATAATGTAGGAGCTGAATAAGTAGATGTGGAGAGTCCTTTAATGGTGTTTGTAGGTAGTTGAAGGTATTTTTATTCATGAGTCCAGTGCTTCTGAAAACCTTGACTTTTGGTTTAGCCTGTGTTCTGTGCTATTTTGCTCGTATTGATATCTCTAATGCTTCATTAACATTCAACAAATAGAAAAATAAAATTCCCTCCATAATGATTTAGACGCCTCTCTTCCTTTGTGTCGGGGGGACACGGTTTGAGCAAAAGGAACAAAGATAAGGCAGCACACCAGTAAACAAAAGCAGTCACATATGGGAGTGCAGTATAAATAATCAGATATCTGCTCATTAAATGCATAGCTACTCTGCTCCCTCCCTGCTGTGCTATCAGTCCCCCATGACAAAAACAGCGAAAGGGGAAGAAAAATTGGTAGGATTTTCAAAATTCAACCACAAGGTGATTTGTTTTGCGAAATATCACTATGTCAGGGACCCAGCATTCAATGCTTAGGTCTCTGGGATCTCATGACACCCAACATATTGGTGGGAGGTTCAGTAGAGAGAGAGGCAGAGAGGGTAAGAGAAACAGTCCATTATTAAAAATACTGCTCCATGGATCCTCATTTCACAGTTATAAACTCCTGTTCCCTCCACCTCAGAGGTGTTATTTGTTATACTAATCCTGAAATCCTTGTTTTAACTGACATCAACCTATATAGTCACTCATTCAGGACCTTTACTTTTTAACTGATTCATTTTACGCGTACCTAATGTGCTGGGCATTTTAGTACACTGTTAGTCAAAGTAAATCTATAAAAAAATAGTTTTAGTCCAGACCAGTCAACAAATAAGTATTTAGTCAAACTTCAGCAAACTTCTTTAAAATAAGATTGAACTTTAAAAGATGCAGCAAAATTAACAATTTCAATGGAGTCAGACTCCTGCAAATTGAGTCAATGAGAAAGTAAACCAGAAAGAAGAAGTCTCCACAAACACACTGAACTTTGTACAACAGCCCAACAATATAACCTGAAGTAATGTTTGGCTCTGTCAGTACTACAGCTGTTCATTTTATTCAGTTATTCTGTAGTTTGTTGAGGTTGAGTAAACTACCATTCAAATAAATGTGTAAATACTGTATGCACTGGCCTATGCTTTGTTACTGAATTAAAATGAAGAAGTAATAGTTGTGATGTTTGTTAGTGTGATAAACTCTCCCACTGTTTATCAGATGCTCTGTAAATCAGTGGGTTAGCGTGGTGGATACTTTCTCGTGAAGTACCCAAAGTTAGAAGGTTTGATGGAACAGTGTTTAGATAGATAGATAGATAGATAGATAGATAGATAGATAGATAGATAGATAGATAGATAGATAGATAGATAGATTACTTTATTCATCCCCAAAGGGAAATTAGGCAATTAGGTTTATACTGCAAATGTGTAAAAGTGAAAGGAGCCACCTTGACCACACTGATCTACTCTAATCAGCCATATGCAGTTTATTGTTCTGATCATAAACCACATAGTATTGTGGGACTAATAAAGAAAACACTTCTTATCTTATCTTATCTAAGTTGTGAGCCATCAACCTCATAATGCCACAGGTGGGAGTCTGTCTGCTGTGTTGCACTTTTCGTATAGGGTCTATGGTTGCACTGTGTTAACCTCATATAGCAGCACACGTGTGGTGTGTATCTTTATGCGAGGAGAAGGAAGGGCTCTTTATTTGACAGCGTGCGTCTGTGCTGTCTCCCCTGAAGCCCGGATCAGACACTGGTGCAGGGGCGTCCTGCAGGGGCGCTGTGTGCCCCTGCAGGACGCACAGTGGACCCGCCCACCCCGCAGCCATGGCCGCCGCCTGCAGAAAACAAAGTGCGCAGTAGAACGACGCGGCAGAGGGGGGGCTCTTCACGGAGCAGTAAACAACCATCAAAGTGAAATAGTACCTCTTACTCTCCACCAACAAAACATGACAGCCACTGTTATATCTCCTTTCCTGGAATACGGAGAAGTCTCCAACAAGGTAAATGACGCTTCCCCGGGAGCCGGTCTTTTCTGCTCAAAACATGCTAACGTTAGCCTAGCCACTTTTCTTGCTGCAAGTTTGACTTGAAAGTTTTTCCGGCTCGTAACTCGTGTCAGCCGCTCGGTTGTTGACTCCTCACGGCACACGCCATTCATCGGCTCGGAGGTTTCAAACACGTCTTTGCACCGCTGGTTCACTGGCGTGTGTTAGAAGCGTCATCTGGGAGGTGATGTGAGCGTGGCGCACACCGAGCAGTCGCAGACTAAAAAGTTAGAAGGGTCACCATGTCTGGTTACGTGATTGAACTTTGCACCAAACAGTGTGAAACATGTGTAACTACAGATTAAGCTGTTTCTATTTAACTTGCGTTGGCTCCTCTGTGTCAGTTCAAACAGCGTCCCTGTGTAACCCGAGGTAAAGAGTTGCAGCACATGGCTTTGTTTGTCCCAAGTTAGTTAGGAGTGAATTAGCTGCGAGTCCTCTGCAATGGTGACACTTTCCCCACGATCTGTTGAGCTGCAGCTTTTATGTGATAGTGTGACACGGACAGTGGCACCACCATAATAGCTGTATCAGCCGCTGGCTTCATGCAAGGTGCGCGGTTTGAAAAGAAAAAAAGGAGCAGCCCAAAAGTAGCATCTAAGCTTAAAGGTACAGTGTGTAGAATTTAGTGATATCTAGTGTTGAAGTTGCATGTTGCAGCTGAACACCCCTCACCTCACCCTCCCCTTCAAAGCATGAAAGAGTACCTTTGGTAGTCTTCAGTTGTCATAAAAACTCAAAAGGTGTTTAGGTTGTCCAGTCTGGACTAATGCAAAAAACATGGCGGCCTCTGTAGAGAGGGTCCCCCCCATGTAAATATAAAGTATTTGAATATAAAGGACCTTTTCTGGGGTAAAGAAAACTATAATTCATATAAATTTAATGAAAACATAATGAGGATTATTCTACATTACATTTCTGACAATAGTTTCCTAGTTAGTTCACCCAAAAAGGAAAATTCACTAATTATCGACTTACCCCTATGTCGATGGAGGGGTGGGTGAAGAGTCCACGAAACACATTTGGAGTTTCAGGGGTAAACGGTATTGCAGCCAAATCCCAAAATTTGTAAATTGTGACCACAAAAAAACATAAAAGGCCTTCATACTGCTCCTGTGGTGTCTGTAAGCCCAGACATTCAAACTCGACCTGATGACGTCATTTACCTGTGGGTTTAGCCTAAATGTTCGCTGTTGCCTATCTCCTACTTACTCCTGCAGTAATTGCAGCTATTGAGAGTTCTTGCGAGAACTTGCAGTAGCTGCAGTTACCCCTATGTCGGCATAGTGGTGAGTAGATAATGAGTGAATTTTTTGGGTGAACTATCCCTTTAAGGAGATGAGAGGAGTGTTGGAACCAGACAGGGACACGGAGGCAGTCACACGAGAGGAAACTTTGTCGACTAGGCTTTAAATCACTGGCGGCCTTCCGATGCAAAAATACTTACTGCCACAGTTTCTGGATCAGGGCAGAAGCACCTTTGGCCCGCTTGCATTTTACCATGCCAGAGTATCCTGTTGGATTGTCCTGACTCCACACTGGCCTACACTCCCTTTTTCCTTTAACAAGTAAAGACCAACACTAATCAAATGTTATTAGGGCCTGCACAGTACTTGAAGTCATTACTTTGGGTCTGTTTGATTAAATCTTGAGGTACGCATTAAACATAATGGAAAAGAAAAATGATGCACACTCATCACCTGCCGCATACAACACGAGATTCGCACAGCCAGGACATCAGTGTTAAAGTGACCGAAACGATCCAGATTCATGATGCACGCAATCGATTAATAACTAAATAATTGTATTGTGTGATATGTGAAGAGTGACAGAGACAAGCACACACACACACACACACACAGGGTGTAGATTATGTCATAATACAGTATTCCTTTTTACTTGAATGTTGCAGAGAGGGCTTTACCCAACCAAGAACTGCCAGTCAAATCAGATTTGACTGTTCATTAAGACTATTCAAGTCACGCTAAAATGTCCTCAGAAGTAGCTGCCTATTTGGCTGATGATATGGATCTCTCACTCTTAGGGGGTGACCTCCCATTGTACATTTCATACTCATCAGTTCTGGTTCTTATGGAATAACATTTCTGAATTAAGGGGGGAAACAAACTGTTGAAGAGCTTTGGCTCAAGGGGCGTATTAAAACACATTCTTATACCATGCTGCATGAACTTCACACTACACAAGTATTTGTGTAAAGATAAAGTCTTAAGATACAATGTTTTCCAAAAGTAGGATTAAAATTTTTGTTTCTAAAAATTTTTTATTCAGTTTTAGGGCCGCACCGAATATCGACTTATTACATGCTATTTTTAGAGGAGCTTATAGGACTGAGCAATACCATTTTCATTGATATAAAGCCATGCCTGTATTTGCATATTTCCTGAGGAGAAAGGAGGGGATCTCTCTCACACTCCACGTGACCCTGCTCCCTCTCCCCCTCTGTGTGTTCACGTCCTGCAAAATGGAAGGAGCCACAGTGCTGGTCTACACAACTTACTAAGACCTGGTTTGTAAAAGACTGTGGGGTGCCCTATTAAATAAAAAGTGCCAAGTGGTACGATTATAACCAATGCTCCACATCCATGAATTTGGAGTGCGCCCCCATTTAGACCTCAGATCATGAGTGATCATTCCGGTCATTTTAACCCTGATGTCCTGTCTGTGCACGTTACGACTTGTGTTGTGTAGTAGGTTTAAACATGTGTTTCATAAACACGAGAGCGAATCAGGCAAGTAAACGTCAGTATCCTAATCACCTGTGATCAGTGATGGTGTGGAAGTGTAAAGTGAGCGCAGGTCAGAGGGGGAGTGAGGAGGAAGCAGACTCCAACATATACAGTACGACCTGACCTTTAGTGTGCGTCTGTCCTGATTCTGAAGCAGAGCTGGTTACAATAATTCAGCTGTGTGTTTGTCAAAACATGGATGGGATGAGTTCTATCGGCCACGTCTTATAGTTCTATCGAGAAGAATTATCTTTATGTTTTTAGCGCAAGAATAAGCAACAGACAATTACTGGTTGAGACAAAATACATAATATGGAAAAAAAGATTGGATTATGTTCACTTGAAGTGTAAAAAAGGATACCAGTAAATTAAAGTTATCAAATTTTAGAAATATCAACCTAGAAATCCCACCACTATAACTTGAGCCACCGAAATGTTAGTTGAGAAAGGGGAACTGACTTAACGGCCTTATTTCCACCGACGCTGGAGAAAAACTCCATTGGAGGAGTTCACAGTGAGAGGACAAATCCTTGTTTACTTTCGGTTTCTGACCAGCTCCGCATGGGCGGCTGACACACACAGACACATCTATCTGTCACTCTTTTGCCCTCTTCCTATTAACCATTTTAGTAAATAGAGGTAATAGTATAATAAAGACATGAAGAATGTGGCTTGAACCAGGACAGTTTACCTGTTTACTTTTATACGTTTAAGTAGTCAGTACTTCGCTCCATAAACAGAACAACTTCCATTGGTGACCCTTCACATTAAACGCTCAATACAGATGCACTGCTTATGATGACAGGAAACAAATTCACTGACCAACCTTCCACAATAAGAAAACTATATAAAATAGCTTGCATAAATTACTTTTTAAATAGCCAAACGTTACACTTTCAGAAACTAACTGGATATTGTTGAAGATAATAATACATTTTTTAGTTCATTAGCTATATTATTAACTTTATATTCGCTATATATTGTTGTGTGTCTTTTTCCTTCTATAGTATCAATAATCATGAAACTGTGATATTTCCTCTGACAATAATTGTGGTACCAAAATTTTATATCGTGGCATCCCTACTTTTGATCTGCAACCTACTAGAGAGCAAAATTTTGTTTATTTGTCTATTTTTTATGAGCCTTATGTCTGTACCTTTCCACTTATGGCTTCTTAACATTCATACTAAATAGTTTTTTAAATTTATTTTATGTAATTTTTCATTTACTTTTTAAAGGAAAGCCTGTCTTAGCATTCTGTTTTGATCACAGTCTGTTTTTTATAAAATATATATATATCATGTATAACCATTCAGAAAAAAATAAAGATATGATTTTTGGTCCATATTGCCCAGTCCTTATCAGTATTGAAGGTTTGAAGCTCTATGGTCTCAAACCTGCTTGTGACAATGTTGACTACTTTCTGATTGCTTTATCCAGAGAGTCTGTTCAAAACGGATGCACTGCTCAGAAAGGATTCATAAACACAGCACACACTAGTCACTGACCATTCATATTACCAAGGTGGAAATGGTGCACTTACTCAACTTTCACACATTTCTCTTTACAGAACAAGAAGATGTTGAACTACAGCAGCAACAATAGTCTTGGTGGAACTCAGCTGACGTCTGCCACATGCTCCAGTGCCAACCACTCCTGCACCCCCACTGAGTCTTTGCTGGACAGGAAGGTGGTAGAGGCCCCCTCTCCAGTAGGCCTTTTCCAGCGCCGTCACTCAGTCAGCCTCCCTAGTACGAAGTTCATTCAGAATCAGTTTGTCAACAGCCTTAAAATGGATCCCTCAGTGTTGCTCGGAAACAGCTGCAGCGGCAACAATAAGGAGAACCATTTTCGTGAGCGCTCTTACTCAGAGGTTGGGGACAGGCTGCAGCCAGGTAATCAAGTGTGTGTGGGCGTAAGTAGCCAAGTCAACACTAGCCGTTATAAAACAGAGTTGTGCCGACCCTTTGAGGAGAACGGCTCCTGCAAGTACGGAGATAAGTGCCAGTTTGCCCATGGCTTGCATGAGCTGCGCTGCCTCAGCCGTCACCCAAAGTACAAGACTGAGCTGTGCCGCACCTTCCACACAATTGGTTTCTGCCCATACGGCCCTCGCTGCCACTTCATTCACAATGCAGAGGAGCGCCGTGGGCCCCCTCCCCTCTCTGCTTTCAACAAGATGGTTCGCCCTCGGCTGCAACACAGCTTCAGCTTCGCTGGCTTCCCCAGCTCAGGCGGCTTGGAGGATAGCCCTACCTCAGTCACACCTCCACCAGTGTTCTCCACTGAAAACCTGACGGTGTTGCAGAGCAACCCCTTGACCTACTCAAGCCAGGAGCTTACTAGCCTGTTTGGTCCAAGCTTGGAGCACCCACTTCCATGTGACCCTCAAGGTCTGTTCCCCCCTTCTCCAACCACTCCCTGCTTTTTTCAACCCACATCAGAGAGCCCCCCTATTCCCCCCGACTCTCTGTCTGACCAAGAGGGGTACCAGAGCAGCATGGGCAGCCAGAGTGGCTCTGAGTCCCCCCTTCTGGATGCCTCGCGGCGTCTTCCCATCTTCAGCAGGCTTTCCATCTCTGATGATTAAGGTGCACCCCGGCATTCTTTGATCTGAGGGAGAGCAGGAGGGACAGAACGGGGAAGATTGTGACCATCAACCTCAATAATTCCCTCCTCCTCCTCTCAGCCTTGTTTACAGGAGTTGGAGAACATCGGATGCCTTCTCATTTCAGGATTGTCTCTCCTTTAAGGACCCCACCAAACACTGATCAAGTCTCATCAACGTGATGAACAGTTGGTACACCAGAATCATCTTCATGTACAGGCCCTGCATTGGGGTCATGATGACTTGAATGTGAATGATTTTGAAAAGAAGAGGTCAAAATATAAAGTAGTTAGTAGTTTGTGTGTTCATTGTCCAGTATAAGGTTTTTACCTGTGCTGCAATCTTTACACCTCATTGCTTATCACAGCTCAGTGATTTTTAGTTACCACAAAGTGAACGGGAGAACGTTTCTCAATTAGTCTTCTCTTCTGGTCGTGTCCAGCTTCTTGTGCCTTGCCGACTTGGATTATAATGTGCCTTGTTTCACTGAGCTGGTGGTCACTTACCATTCTCTGGGGGTTTTGAGTGCACAAAGTCTTTGAACAGTATTTATTCGAATTTGTGAAGTCAAGGGTTGAATTAAAGGGTAGTTTCGCCCAAATTACAAGAAATATTCTTTCACTGCCCTTATTTATACTTACTTGTGTAGTCAAGGTTTTCTTTTTCCAGTCTCTGAGATTACAGCCTCCATCCCAAAACATTGACGATGAGTGGAATTTAGTTTATGTTCAAATAATTCAAATAGATTTTCATAAGATCAACAGCAGCATCTCTGAACTAGTATCTCTGGATCAGCCACAGAAAACACTGGAGGCTGTTTTCTCACAAACTAGTCTTTTTGTTAAAAGTCGGTTCTATTGACTTCTGTTCTCACTGAAGTCTCTCTGAAAAAAGTCAACACTTAAGCAATGGTAAGAGAGAGAATGTATTTTCTTTGGTAGTTTGGGCGACCTGCCAGCCGTTGACAGGTTCCTGCTATTTATTTGCCACTTCAGAGTCAGAGTTCAAACTCTGCTGCAAAGTTAATATCATCAACTCTCAATAGTTGAGCTTTTTCAATCCCACACCTTTCCAATCCCCGTCAGATCAGTTCTGTGTCTGAGGTGATATGTTTGACAGCTGTCTGAAATCAGGTGAACCTGAATGCTTCTGTTGATTCCACCATGTTCAATTATTATTATTATTATTATGATGGTCATGTTATTTTCTAGTTTGTTTCTCAGAGTCTTTAGTGTTGGGGCTCTGGTCATCACTGCTTATTTATCAAAATGTATTTATTGCTAATCTTAAGCATTTTTTATTTTGTATTTATCTGGTTAATTAAACAATAGAATATATATTTTCTTTTATGTTAAATTATGATCTTCCTTATCAATCATAGGATGACTGTTTATTTGTATTCACAGTTAATATATTATTCTGCAATGACTTTTTTTCTTAACACTTGATTTATTTTGAACCTGAATCTTAATTTAAAACACAAAGGTTTAGCATTTGTATTTATTTTCAGTTCTTTCCACATGCACCATCAGTTTGAGTTTCTTTGTGGCAATCTGAAGGCATAGGACGAACGCATTGGAAGAATGCATTGGAAATGCCCAAGTTAATACCCAAGTGCAAGCTGTATGCCTAACTACAAACATTGTCTTTTCATTATAGGGGTAAAAATCTGTTGCTGCCATTATCATTTTCAAGTGATGAGAGAAGCCAACACAATAGTTAACAACTAATTGGATAACAAGGGTAGAGTCATAGTTTCTTATGGTCTGGACAAAGTATGAATGCACTTAGGGTGCGGGTGGTGTTGGTTTTACAAGGTTTTTCCAGCCAACATTCACAATATGTGCCTCTATCACAGCTGCTGGAGACCCCAATATTATGTGTGTCTGTGTGTGTATGTCTGTCAGTTCCAGGGTAATGGTCCTAATTAGGTGTAGGTTTATGGGCTGGAGAATGCATTATCTCAATGAGCGTGTGTGTGTGCGTTTTCTGCCTCTGTGTCTAAGGCCTGTACTCTGGAGCAGGATTAGTGTTCAGTGACGTAACTTCAGGTTTTGACCCTTGGTAAATAGTCATGGTAATTTGTGCTGCACAGCTACTTTGAGATAACCGCTCAGCATTTATATAAGTGTAGCCGGACCAATCCGTTCTCTAGGAAAATTGAGTCACTACACACTATTTATTTATTTGACACCTGGGACTGCAGCTAAAAGAATAGACTTAAAACTGTCATACAAACCCTGTGAATTAATCTAATCAAACATTCATTTAATGGAATACATAAATGTATTCAGCCAGTTCTTCTGGTGCTGTAATGATGAACAATATTATCAGCTTATTAACCTGCACATTCACACAGTCTGGTTTTCCTTCTTTCTACTCCTGTTTCCCCGTCACTGTCTTAACATGCAGGGTGTATTTTTGTCAGAGCACCTAATGGCTCTGAGATGTTAAATTCACTGTGACT